AACCGAAAGATAATTTACATCCCGAGGGAGAATTCGAAAGTCGTCCTAAAGGACGAATTCGTACCAGCTGAACGACCGAAACCGAAGAAACCCGAAGACAACTTGTTCCCAGAAGGAGAATTCGAACGTCGTCCTAAAGATGAATTCGTACCAGCTGAACGACCGAAACAGAAGAAACCGAAAGATAATTTACATCCCGAGGGAGAATTCGAACGACGTCCAAAAGATGAATTCGTACCTGCTGAACGACCGAAACAGAAGAAACCAAAAGATAATTTACATCCTGAAGGAGAGTTTGAACGTCGTCCGAAGGACGAATTCGTACCTGCTGAACGACCAAAACCTAAAAAACCTGAAGATAATTTACATACCGAAGGAGACTTCTATGGAAGTACTTCATCGAGAAATGATTTCACATTTGAAAAAGTAGAACGTGTTACAACGATTAGACGGGAGGATAATTTAAGAGTGGAAGGTGAATTCACCAAACGAGTTAATGAAGAATTTATTAGAGGTGAGCGACCATTACCTATAAAACACGAAGATAACTTATATCCCGAAGGAGAATTCGAAAAACGCCCGAAACAGGAATTTACACCAGCTGAACGACCGAAACAGAAGAAACCAAAGGATAATTTGCATCCTGAAGGTGAGTTCGAAAAACGACCGAAAGACGAATTCGTACCTGCTGAACGACCGAAACAGAAGAAACCAAAAGATAATTTACATCCCGAGGGAGAATTCGAAAAGCGTCCGAAGGACGAATTCGTACCTGCTGAACGACCAAAACCTAAAAAACCTGAAGACAATTTGTTCCCAGAAGGAGAATTCGAACGTCGTCCTAAAGATGAATTCGTACCAGCTGAACGACCGAAACAGAAGAAACCAAAAGATAATTTGCATCCTGAAGGTGAGTTCGAAAAACGACCGAAAGACGAATTCGTACCTGCTGAACGACCAAAACCTAAAAAACCTGAAGACAATTTGTATACCGAAGGAGACTTCTATGGAAGTACTTCATCGAGAAATGATTTCACATTTGAAAAAGTAGAACGTGTTACAACGATTAGACGGGAGGATAATTTAAGAGTAGAAGGTGAATTCACCAAACGAGTTAATGAAGAATTTATTAGAGGTGAGCGACCATTACCTATAAAACACGAAGATAACTTATATCCCGAAGGAGAATTCGAAAAACGCCCGAAACAGGAGTTTACACCAGCTGAACGACCGAAACAGAAGAAACCAAAGGATAATTTGCATCCTGAAGGAGAATTCGAACGTCGTCCTAAAGATGAATTCGTACCAGCTGAACGACCGAAACAGAAGAAACCAAAAGATAATTTACATCCCGAGGGAGATTTCGAACGTCGTCCGAAGGACGAATTTGTACCTGCTGAACGACCAAAACCGAAGAAACCTGAAGACAACTTGTTCCCAGAAGGAGAATTCGAACGTCGTCCTAAAGATGAATTCGTACCAGCTGAACGGCCGAAACAGAAGAAACCAAAAGATAATTTACATCCCGAGGGAGAATTCGAACGTCGTCCTAAAGACGAATTCTTACCTGCTGAACGACCAAAACCTAAAAAACCCGAAGACAACTTGTTCCCAGAAGGAGAATTCGAACGTCGTCCTAAAGATGAATTTGTACCAGCTGAACGACCGAAACAGAAGAAACCAAAAGATAATTTGCATCCTGAAGGTGAGTTCGAAAAACGTTCAAAGGACAAATTTGTGCCAGGTGAACGACCGAAGCAGAAGAAACCGGAAGACAATTTACATACCGAAGGAGACTTCTATGGAAGTACTTCATCCAGAAATGATTTCACATTTGAAAAAGTTGAACGAGTTGCAACGATTAGACGGGAGGATAATTTAAGAGTAGAAGGCGAATTTACAAAACGAGTAAATGAGGAATTTATTAGAGGTGAGCGACCATTACCTATTAAGCACGCAGATAACTTACGTCCTGAAGGAGAATTCGAAAAACGTCCTAAGGACAAATTTGTGCCAGGTGAGCGCCCAAAACCTAAAAAACCCGAAGACAATTTGTTCCCAGAAGGAGAATTCGAACGTCGTCCTAAAGATGAATTTGTACCTGCTGAACGACTGAAACCTAAAAAACCCGAAGACAATTTACATACAGAGGGACATTTCTACGGAAGCTCATCCAAAAATGATTTCACATTTGAAAAAGTTGAACGAGTTGCAACGATTAGACGGGAGGATAATTTAAGAGTCGAAGGTGAATTCACCAAACGAGTTAATGAAGAATTTATTAGAGGTGAGCGACCATTACCCATTAAACACGAAGATAACTTATATCCCGAAGGAGAATTCGAAAAACGTCCAAAGGACAAATTCGTACCAGCTGAACGACCGAAACCTAAAAAACCTGAAGACAATTTGTTCCCAGAAGGAGAATTCGAACGTCGTCCTAAAGACGAATTCGTTCCAGCTGAACGACCAAAACCTAAAAAACCGGAAGACAATTTACATACCGAAGGAGACTTCTATGGAAGCTCTTCATCCAAAAAGGATTACTTATTTGAGAAAACTCAACGGATTACAAGTATTAAACGTGAAGATAATTTAAGAGTAGAAGGTGAGTTCACCAAACGAGTTAATGAGGAATTTATTAGAGGTGAGCGACCATTACCTATAAAACACGAAGATAAGTTATATCCCGAAGGAGAATTCGAAAAACGTCCTAAGGACAAATTTGTGCCAGGTGAGCGCCCGAAACCTAAAAAACCTGAAGACAATTTGTTCCCGGAGGGACAATTCGAACGTCGTCCAAAAGACGAATTCGTACCAGGTGAACGTCCAAAGCAAAAGAAACCTAAGGATAATTTATATTTGGAAGGTGAGTTTTCTTTAACTCGTAAGAATGACTATTTAAGTGGAGTAATGGTAGATAATACTGATAAGAAGTATTCATCTGATGTATCTGTAGTTAAGAGTGATGATAAATCTCAAAAGCATTTAATGAATTCATCAAGTGTATCTTTTGATACAGAGGGTGTTGTTAATACAATTAAAGAAACGAGTAATTCTCATATATCAGTGTTGTCAAAATCTGTTTCTGATGAAAGTAGGAGAAATATAAAAACTGTCAATAGATTTAATCAGATGAAGTCTAATATTTTAATAAGTGATTCATCAGATGTTTATGACAAATTCTCAAAATCTACTACTAGTTCTAATTTAGAAAAGTCGTCTAGTTTCAATGAAAAAAATGTATCATTTGGTAACAAAAAAGTGGTCGTTGACAGTAAAAGTATTGATAATGTTGATAATAATTGTTTAACGAAGAGAAGTTCAAGTAATTCTACTATTATAAAAGAAAAAATTGGTTCAGTTACGGAAACGAATAAAAAATCTGTTATAAATAAAACTGAATTTATAAATAAAAAGGATGAAAAATCATTAAATAAAATTACGGATGTTTCCAAGGAGAGTTTAAGTAAACCTAGTAGCCGTATGATTACGCGAGAAAGAAAAGTATTGGTTGGTGGAAAATTGGTATCTAAAATAGAAAAAATAATGGTTACCGATACTAATGTTACAACTAGTAAAAATTTTGAAACAGTAGAACGCCGCGAATTGTTTTCTAAATGTGAAAATGAAATAAATAAAGAAAAGAAAATTTTATCATCTCGAAAATTTGAGGATGAAACCAACAAATCAATAAGGAAATCAATAAATTCTTGTAGCGGTGATTTTATGGATGCCATGACCTCCACTAAATCTGATATTAGATCAGAAGAAAAAACAGGTTATCACAGAAGAAGTGTCATATCTAGTTCTTCTGCTGATTTACATAACATGGTTTTACACAGAAAGGATGTAACGTCAGCTCCGGAAGCACTTCACACGATATCTTCAGCTGCTTCTGCTCAAAGGAAAAGTATTAATAATTTAAGTGAAATTGGGCAATATATTAGCAATTCTTCTCAGAGTCACGAAAGAAAAAGTTTAAGTTCTTTACACAGACAAAGTAATTCTCCCGTACGCCGGGAAACGATAAAAAAAGATTTATCATCGTCTCCCATGAAGGATGTTTCTCATTGGTCGAATACAATGCAGCAATTTAACACATCTGATACGAGTACTACTAGTTCAAGGATAATTGGTAATAAAGATAGTTCTTTCACGAGTTCCAGCAGTCAAAGAATGTCTCGAACAAGCGAATATAACGTATCGACTTCTAAGAGCACCAGTACTTCTGTTAGTGTTACAAGAAAAGTTTACAGGAATAATGCATCAAACATATCATTTGGAGATTCATCATCCATAACAAGTACTTCTATGTACAGAAACGAATTTACTCCGCGTCACGTGGGTCCGTGTCCAGCATCTTTTATAGAAACTGAGAGCACACCTTTTAAGCATACGAGAGACACCAAAAAGCACAAATATTATCTTCCAGTGGTTGATACAAAGTGATTAAAGTTTTATTGTGTTTTTTTTTTTTTTCTTTCTTTTTTTTTTCATTTTATTCCTTTAATAAATGAACAAATAAAAAGGAAAACTAATATATATATACATACATTAACCGTGCCTTCATTATTATCATTATATTTTATTATTATTATTATTATTATTGTTGTTGTTATCATATTAATTAAAATTTTCATAATGGTATACAAATTAACATATTTTTTATTATTATTTAATAAATAAATGAAATTATTTTTAACAAATTTATATTAATAACTATTAACTAATTGATTTATGTTGTTTTTTTTGTTTTGTTATCAAGTACTAAATAATAATAATGATTATTACTATTAATATTGTGATAGGTTTTGTTATTGGTTACTAACGTTTTTCTGTTTTTTATTATTATTACTATTAATAATTAATTAATTCATTTTTAATAAAAAAGAAAAATTTTTTATTTAAATTTTGTTTTTTTTTCTCCGCCCCTTGCCCCCTTTCCCCATTTAAAATTTAAAAAAAAAATTTTATTATTATTATTATTAATATTTTTTTTACATTTTTACATACTGATGAAAAATGAAAATTGAAAAAAAAAGGTGGGGGGGGGGTGAAGTAAATATAAAGAATTTTAAATAAATAAAATAATATAATTCTATTTAATTTTTTTTAAAAATTTATTTATTTCTCTATGTATTATTACTATTATTATTTAATATATTTTTTATTAAAAATATATATTAAATAATATATAAACAATTTTAAAAAGAAAATAAAAGGAAAAGAAAAAAAAAATGAAAATCATTTTAATATTCAAATTGCAATAAATATAATTAATTTAAAAAGAAAATAAAAATTTATTTAAGATTTTTTAAAATCCAAGACATAAAATGAGTGACTCTGGTATAAACTCCCGGATATTGTCCTTTACCACATCCTATACCCCAACTAACTATACCAACTTGAATCCATTTACCTTGATTTACCATAAGCGGCCCTCCACTGTCTCCCTGTACAAAAAAAAAAAAAAATAAAAAAACAATAATTTAATATAAATTTAATAAATAAAAACTATTGATAAAATTATTATTATTATTTTTTTTTTTTTTTACTTTTACAAATGAATCCAATCGAATTAGTTTTTTTTTTTGGCCATAATTAGGTACAAAAATAAAACCATTTAATTATTATTAACATATATATTTATAGGTTTATACATACGCTGCAGGAATCTCGACTTGGTTGTCCCGCACATAAAAAATGATCAACTATTCCTCCTGGAGCAGCCGGACCATATTTAAATCTACAATCTTGATTTGTCCATATAGGTACACTGACTTCTTGAAGTTCCGCCGGTTGTATTCCGCCTTAATTAAATTTAATTTTTATTAATGTTATAAATAAATTATTTATTAAAAATTAATATAATGAATCATACTTTCACGTAGGCTTCCCCATCCGATAACGGTCGCGGGTAATCCAGCGTAATTTTGACTTCCTTGAGGTAAACAAATAGGACGAATATTTTTAGTGAAAGCCACAGGGGAATCTAATGTTAAAACTGCAACATCATTGTACTGTAATATAAAAAAATTTAAATCATTTAAAAACATAAAAAAAAATAAAGAAAATAATAATAATAATAATAATAATAATAATAATAATAAATATTTACTAAAGTTCTTGGATCAAATCCCCTGTGACGAACCACCCTTTTAACTCTTTTTTCAACATGTTTAGTTTCTGTGTTTATCCGTATATTGTGATCACCCAACCTGACCGTCATTCGAGCAACGTCCCACGAAGTCATACTATTGAAAATAAATTAATTTATTAATTTCTTTTTTTTAATAAATTAAAAAATGAATAAAAATTTAATTGAGACGTACTGTGCCACACAATGAGCTGCTGATAAAATATGCTCGTGATCGATAAGAGAACCTCCACAAAATTGTCTACCGCTGTTGAATAATGCAACCTGAAATAATAATTTTATTGTAAAAGAAAAAATAATTTGAGTTGTGATGTAAGGGTTATTATGAGCTTACAGCCCAAGGCCATTCGTTCAAATCTGCCGTGTGACCTCCGACGATTCTTTCTTGATCTTGGTAACCATTTTTAGCACCGCAAGTTCCATCGATTATTTCGTTGTCCGGCGTTGATGGAGGCTCTATTGGCTTCGACGGAGGAAAAGTAGGAGGCCATATTGTAGTCGGTCGGGTAGTTATCGGTGGTACGGTCGGAAGGGTCGGTCGGGTAGTTATAGGTGGAAAGGTGGGAAAGGTCGGAAGGGTCGGTCGAGTAGTTATCGGTGGAAAGGTCGGAAAAGTCGGGAAGGTCGGAAAGGTCGGTTTTGTGGTTATCGGTGGAGCGGTCGGAATGGTCGGTCGAGTGGGTTTTTGTGGGGGGAAAGTCGGTCGAGTGGGTTTTTGGGGGGGTAAAGGCGGTCGAGTGGGTTTTTGTGGCGGAAAAGTCGGTCGGATCGGTTTCTGGGGTGGAAATGTGGGGCGAATCGGTTTTTGGGTTGGAAATGTAGGACGGATCGGTTTTTGAGTTGTGGGTTTTTGCGTCGGTCGAGTTGGTCTTACGGGATATGTCGGTGGATGAGGATATCCCGGAGACGGAGGATGAGTTGGCAAGGGTGGCACCGTATGGTTCGGAGGATGAGTAGGAATCGGAGGAGGCCAATTAGGCGGTATCGGATTATTCGTAGAAAAATCTACCGGTTTCGATGTGGTGGTGGAAATAGTTGTCGTGATTCTTTCCGTGGTAGTAGTAGTAAAAGGGGGAGGTTTTGGAAAACCAGGATTGGGATTCGTACAGCAAACTCCAAAAGCCTTAAAAAAAAAAAAAATTATTAGTATCATTAGTAAGAAAGTTTTTTTTTTAAAAATAAAATTTTCAATTTAAAAATATATGAAAGTAAAACAATAAAAAAAAAAACTAATTTACGATACACAAAACAAAAAATGTAATTAAATTTCTCAACGTTTGTTTGAATGAAAAATAATTATAATAATACTATAATAATTTTAAGGGTTAAAAATAAATCATTAATAATTTAATCTATCCATTTAAAAATAAAAAAATTTTTTTCTATTAAACGTACCTGTTCACCTGTTTCAGTAAAATAACTACAGGTATCATAAATACCCAAAACCCAAGATTCCCAATTATTTAAATTAGGGAGCTTGAAATAAGGGTAACAAGCTCTGAAACTGGTACATTTTCCTAATTTTCCTTGGCTGTTGATGCAGGGTCCAGATAAAAATGATTGCCATCCTATTTCTCTTTTTGTTCTATTCAATAAATTTACTTCGTTCGTTTCAAATAAATCTTTTGAACTTTTTCCCGATATATTTTGTTTCGTTAAAGGTAAAACTGGAACAAAAAAAAAAAATTCAATTAGATTCGATTATTATTATTATTATTATTATTATTAATTTTTCGATACAATAAATTATTTATATTTTGGATTATGGTTAAGAGTCAATGATTAAACATGGGGGGTCATTCAACCATTCCATTCTAAATTAAATACAATAATTTTTTTAAATTGTCGGTTAATAAAAAAAATAAATAAATTTTCCATTGATATTATTGGATAAACGTGAAAAATAGTTTTTCATATGAAAACAAAAAGTGGGGGGGCGGGGAAAAAAAGAAAATTTTTTTTTTTTTATTAAACTCCATTAAAAACATGAGGAAGTTGTACTACGAATGTTTACATTTTTTTTTACTTTTTGACGTCATTTTATTATTATTATTAATTTTTTTTTTTTCCAAATGTATTTAATATATATTCTAAAAAAATTTCAAGTGTCATTAATAATGATAATGATATTAAAAATGGATTTATATGGAATTTAATATAATTTACAAAACGATGTTTTAATTTCATTTGGAAACCGGTTAAAAGTAATAAAAACTCCATTTCCATAACATATCTATATCCAAAGATAAAAAAGAAAAAGAAATAATAATAATAATAATAATAATAATAATAATAATAATAATAATAATAATGATAATAATAATGATAATAAATGTAAAATTTATTATGTTAATTCATTTTTTTTTTTACCAACTACGCTAATTCTTACGATAAAAAAAAATTTGTTGTTGTTGTTGTTGTTGTTGTTGTTCCTGTTATTATTATTATTGTCGAGAGAAAGAGAGAGAGAGAGAAAAACGAATAAGTATTAGTTATAAATAAATGGGTCATTCACCTTTAAAATTAAAAAAAAAAAAATCTCAATAAATTTTTTTTTTAACGGAAAAGTATGAGTGAAAATTATAAATTATTGATCTCCTTCAATTCTTATGTATATTTATATGTAGAGTGTTCAAAGGATTAAAATATTATATTTTATGTCGTTAGAGTGTTTTATTAAAAATAATAATAATAATAAAAGCTCTAAAAGAAAAAGTAACGGCGGTTTGATTTAATAATGGTTTATTCCTTCCGCAACGAATAAATTCTTGAGGACTTCTTTCAAATAAGTTGTGGCCACATATAAGAAAAAAAAAATTCAACTATTATAAGGTCACTAACTGGATTTTTTACACTATTGAAAATTATTTAACGGTTATTTAATTTCATTTTAATTGTATATTCATTATTAATTTATGTTAAAATTTTAAATTATTTGATGGACGGTCGTATAAAAAAAACCACCCACAAAATCATCCCTTGAAAATAATATAAAATCCTCATAATAATTGATAACAAAAATTAAATATTCGCGAAAGTTATTAAATTTTTTTTTTTTTTTATTTGCCGCCATTATAAAAAAATATAATATGAATTTAAAAACTTTTACTTTTAATAATTAAATTTTTTTTTTTTGTTTGGCAACCGTTAAATTTTTATAAAAAAAAAAAAAATTTAATTTTTGTCAATTAAATTTTCATATAAATGATGAAAAACTTTTTTGTTTTTGTTGACAATAAGCGAATTAAAAAAAAGAAAAAAAAAAAATTTGTTTTTTCTCACCTTCTATGACTACAGAATCATCCGTTTCATAAAAATTAAAATAATAATTTTCATAATCAATATAATAATCATGTTTAAAACAATTAATTAAAGTAAAACCTAATAAATACAATAAACACCATTTCCGCATATCACCACTCATTTCAATTGTGAGAAAATAAAACATTTTTTTTTTTTTGTACACTAGTTTAGAAATTCGATTTCCAATAAAGATTCTGGAAAAAGTTTCATCTTTACATTCACAAAATAAATACTGTTAGTCAAGCGAAAAAAAAAAAGAAAATAAAAAAAAAAAAAAAAAAAAACTTGTAGCGCCAAGTAGGCTGTTTTTTTTTCTTTTTCTTTCTTTTTCTTTTTTCTTCTTCTCCTTTTTTTTTTTTGTATTTAAACTTAATGTATCTCCCTCCACAAAAAAAAAAAAAAAAAATTCTCCCTTCCACCAAACACGGCCTTTGTCTCATTTTTTATTATTTTTCTTTTTTCTTTTTCTCAACCTTTTTTTTTAATAACAAATAATAGTTCTCTCTCTCTTTCTCTCTCTCTCTCTGTCTCTCTCTCGTCAATGAATGAAATTTTAATAATTTTTCTCTTTGAATATTATCCAAAAAATAAATAAACAAATCATTGGAGGGGGGGGAAAGGTTTAAAACTTATGTAATTAATTTTTAATAATTAATAGTCGTGAGGCATATCAACCAGTCATAATAATAATAATAATAATAATAATTAATATTAATTTAAATCCACATCGGTAAATAATTTTTTTTGTTGTTGTTTATAAAGAAAAGAATTTTTATTTAGTGTTATAAATGCGACCTTTGCAATGTGAATGATCTGCCACGCCCGAGATTGTCATCATCATCATCATCATCATTATTATTATTATTATTATTATTATTATTTCACTCGGCTGCTAAATCAAGGACCGTAATTAGCAAACAAGTTGAGTTTTCAGGGCTCGATTTTTATTGTCGAACGTTGACTTCCAATAAACCACAATTTTTCCAATCATTTTTTATTTACGGGGAAAGACCAAAACAATCGTCTTCTTCTTCTTCTTCGTCATCCACTTGTCGTTTACCTTTTTTAGCATAAAATTTTTTCCAATTATTATATTCAAGTCATTAATAAAATTTATTTGAACGCTTTTGAGGTGACGTCATAGAGGTGATGACGTTCATTCTCTGTTGCTGACAAGCAAAAAAAAAGAAGAAAAGGAATACATATATACATGAAAACGTAGAGCTTTTATTGTATAATGTAGAAGGTATGAGATCGATGAACCGTAACATTCAATAAACAAATATTTTCAAATTAAAAGCGAGTAGGACCAAAGTGCGAAGAATAAAAGAAATAAGTAGTAAGTAGTAGTAGTAGTAGTAAGTAAGTATTTGGTAAGTCGTTGTATTAGGGCACCAACCTCTGCACACGATTTGCCCGAGGGAACACCTGAATAATGTGGTAGCTGAAGAGGTTTAAAAAAATATTCGATGCCAGAATAAACAAGAAAAGAAAAAAAAAAAAAAACCTTCAAGTTCTAACAAAACATATATTCTTCATTTTTTTTTTTTTTTTCATGTGGGTTTTATTCTGGAAATTACACATTAGGATTTTCCAACTACAACTATTTCTTTTATTTTCTTTTTAAATACTTTTCTCTCTCTCTACCTTTTTTAAATAAATATTATTATTATTAAATTATTCAAAAAAAAATATGATTCATAAAATATGATTCATTGATTATTTATTTATTAAATTTTTTTAAAATTATAATTATTTTCGTGATTTTTTTAAAAAAAAATGTTTTCTAATGAAATTAAATATTTAAAAAAAAAAAAAAATTAACGACGTCCATATTTGATTTAAATTATAATTCAAAATATATTCGTTTGTATTTATTTATTTATTTGTTTTGTTATTAAAAAAAAAATTATTAAAATATATTAATGTCACATGATTTTTTATTTTTTTATTTATTTACTTCGTGGTTTTTTATTATTATTTAAATTATAAGAGAGGTAAGGGGAAAGAGAGGGGAGAGGAGAAATGGGTTTTCCAGGTGGGATATGAATCAAAAAAAAATTTTTTTTTTTCCCGTCATCTCATATCAACGAAGAGAATTTAAGGTTTTGCCATTATTGGAATACAATAAAAATCAAAAACAAAATTTTTTTTTTGTTATTAAATATAAAGGTTTCGATTGGAACAAAACCTTAAAATAATTTTTTTTTTTTTTTATTTACACAAAAGCCATTTTTACCGAGGTGAAAATAAAAAATAAAATAAATACTTTTTCATTCGAGTTAAATTTTTCTTTTAAAAATTCATTAATAATTTATTAGAATCCAAAATTGACAAACGGATGTAAATTATATTAAACTCTCCACACACACGTGTTGGAATTATTAGTTTTTTTTTTTTTTTTCCGGTCCTAAAATTTAAACAAAAAAAATTTTTTTTCCGTTTATTGTTTATAAAATAATTTGTGTGATTCAGATTAGGATTTTATCAAAACAAAAACAAATAATTTCAAATTTCAAAATTTTATTTTAATGTCAAAAAACAAAATCATTAATTATTAAATTGTTAAAAAAAAAAATTTTTTTTTAATTTTAACAAAAAATTATTTATTTAAATAATCGTGTATGATTATCACGAGACTATTAACAATCACTAATGATAATCCTGAAATTATAATTAAAAAAATAAATAATAATAATAATAACGTTTTGTTTTTAATAACATTTAATTTGTTTTTTATCTGTATATGACGATTGCTTCTATTATTTATTAAAAATATAATTAAATAAATAATTTTTGATTAATAATTACACACGTTACGGAGTTTAAGGTTTTAATGTAATTAATATATTTAATTAAATTAATTTCATCAGGTACGTAAATGAGAGAGAGAGAGAGTTAACATACAAAAAGTTACCGTTTTTTTTTAACTACAGGGGTGGGGGGCGAGAAAGAATAATAATAATAAGTTAATAAAAAAAATTGAATGAATGATAAATCGTTATATATATATATTACAATCCGTACTGTATTTATATTATATATATATATTTTCATAATACTATAATAAAATAATAAGCAACGTAACATAGTACGCATAAAATGACGACCGTGACGCCGTAAATGGTCACGATATTTCTTTTTAAAATAAATAAAAAGAAAAATTTCACAGCCTTCTTCGTTCAAAAAATTAAAAGTCAAGAAACCCACGCTGATCTCGTAGTATTATTAGATTTTCCGACATTTGAATTGTAATTAGGACTAGTTTTTTCTTTAACTGGAGATCTTTCCTCTATTGAACATAAATTTTGCATTTTCCACATTCTAACGGAACCGTCACTGGAAAACAATTAAAACAAACAAACATTTATATATATATACATATATGAATATTTTTTTCTTTTCTCTTTTTTTGCCGTTCATTTTATTTATTTATTTTTTTTTTTTATCGACAATTTCTGTTAATAATAACAAACTTACTTGTATATATAAAACAATCAATCAATCACTACAGGAAATGACTACAAAAAAACGAGTTTTAATAAATTTAATTATAATTTATTAATTACATGAATAATAATAATAAAATTCATTTGGATTAGCATCCATAAGATAAAAAACCGGAATGGATGCTTTTAAAAAAATCATCGATTTGCATTGTTGTCCCGTTTAGAAAAAAAAAAATTTAATAATAATAATAATAATATAAATTTTAAATATAAATATATATATACATTTTTTTTAAAAATTAAAACTTACCTTTAATAATAATAAAAAAAATTTATATATATATTCAATTTACATAGATAGTTGAAACATTTTTCCAGTTGACATTGACATTGGAGAGAGTGACTGGTGGGGACGCCACACCTTCACCTCCCCACTGCTGTAAACATGCAAAGGTTTCACACATTTTTCTCCAAAAAAAAAAAAAAAAAAAAAAAAAAAAAACCAACACCTAAAAAGGCATAACGAAAAATATTTCCTCCACCATACTTACTTTGATGCCGTGAAAACGTGAGATGAATTAACAGCCACGTCGTTTATTGGAGAATTATGAGCTCTCAATTCTCCCAAAAGACAACACGTTTCCACTGACCATATTTTTAATATTCCACTTCTGCAACCGGAAATTAGCTGTTGGCCACCAGGCATGAATACCAGACCGCAGATCCAGTTTGAGTGAGCATTATTAATTGACTGTATTTAAATAAAATAAATTTTTTTTTTTTTTATATAATTCGTGTAAATAAACAAAAAAAATAAAGAAAAAAAAATTAAAGTTAATTTTTACCTGAGTCAATTTCGGACGAGTCAAATTCCATTTTTTTATACACATATCCCTCGATCCGGAAAATAAAATTTCATCTTGTAAAGCCAATGATTGAATTCCGTCATAATGTGGAGGATTTAAATTCATTTTAGGAGGGAAAACTCCACCGGAACTTCCGTTAACTTCAAATACTTTTATGTAATGATCTTTCGATCCCGTCACAACAACATCTTCCGTTTCAGATAATTTGCTTACAGCCAAACACATAACAGCTGCTTGATGTCCTCCGGCTAATTTTCCAGTTGAACTAAACCTAATTAAATTATATACGTATTTTTAAAAAAAGGAGGGGGGGGGAGAAAAAAAAAAGAAAATTTAATAAAAAAAAAAAAAGAAAAACCTTCTTAAATCCCAAACTCTAACTCGATCTCCAGAAGCTGTATATAAAATCATTCCGTTTTTATTAAGGGCAACATCATTTAGTTGCTGTTCTCCCTGAGGTATGGTTACGGCTCTAGAGGAACTCGGTAATGATACCGATCCGTTTATGGTTAAACCAGAAGAACTGAAAACAATAATAATTTTTTTTCCTTTTAAATTCCTTAAAAAAAATTCAAAAATTTTCAACGACGTTTTATTAGACATTAAATCGATATAAAAAAAAAAAGAATAAATTTTAAGTCTGCAATTGTCCGAAAAATGTTAAAATGATTAACCAAATAAAAAATTTTTTTTGACAAAGAGTTTATTATATATTACCATAAAGTTTTTATACACCGTGATGGAGATTCTCTTAAATCCCATATTTTGACGTAAGCAGAAGAAGCTGAAAATAAAAGTCTATTGATTTCGCAGTATCTTACAACTTCGACGTTATTAGGATGACCGGTCATGGTTTGAACTTCGACACCATTATGTAAATCCCAAACCTTTACCGATCTATCTAAATATTTAAAAAAAAAAAATTTTAAATCAAATCACACGTGATACAATAAATAATAAAAATAAATCATTCTTACCTTTTGATGATGTGAAAAGAAGGGAATCGGTTACGCAAACGGATAAAACAGCATGGGAATGACCAGAAGCAACGTAAACACAACCAAATGGAGCTTTATTATTAGTCTAAATAAAAAAAAATAAAAATAAAAACTCAGGAATAATACAAATGGTAACAACAAAAAGAAAAGAAATAAAAACATACTTTTCCTGAATATTCAGATATGACACCTCGCCCAATAGAAGGCTCTACATCTTGAGTGCCCCCAGTCAAGCGGGAAAAAACGTTTTCTCCACGACTAGTAAATCTTCTGTAGGCTGTTGGTGACCCAGGAGGACTCTCCGTTGACTCCCTGGCCGTCAGTGGATTTAAGTTAGTTAAAAGCTCAAAATATGTTATTTTTAATGCCGCTCAGAGTAATAATTAAGTTATGCACGAATTTTAATCATTAAAAAAAACAAAAAATTACGCGTGACTAACATTTAATCTAATAATAATAATAATAACTCAATTTAAACGTGCTATTAAAAAAAGTTAAAACTCAATCGAAAATCAAACAAAAATCAATCGACATTTAAAATAATTTTTTTTTTTTAAATTATTAATTTTTTTCCTTCCTTTTAAAAGTCCCCCCCCCCCCCAAAAAAAATAAAAATTATTTATTTAAAGAAACAATTTATTATGCGAACTTAGGTTTGAGCTCAAAAGAATTTTAAATCCTTTCATTATTAATTAATTAATAATAGATATGTAATGTTTGTTTTTATTTAATTAAAATAAAGTTTTGACAATCCTTAAAATTTTCTGAAATTTTTTAAAATAATAATAATAATAATAAGTTATAAATTAAAAAAAAAAAAAAATTGATATGAAGCTCATATTTTTTTTTTTAAATATTTTTTATTAGAAAGAGATAGAATAAAATTTAATCATAAATTTTGTGTTTATTCCCCTCCCCCCAGAAAACTCCCCAAATTTGATTTGTAAAAAATGTATGATAAGGTGCTCGCAGACTTATTAAGGTTTAACTTAATGTTTATTCCAGTACACTTAGAATTTAAAAAATGCTGTTTTTTGCTAACAGCAATATTCCATCTATAATTTACCATTTTAAAAAAATTTTTTTTTTTTTAATGAAATGTTTTATATGATAATTTATATATATATAAAAAAGGTTGATACCCTTTTTTTTTAAAACTTAAATAATATTTATATGATTTCGTGCCACAAATGAGAACAAAAATGACAAAAATTTTTTTTCCTTTAAACACCCAACGAAATTAAATAAAAAAATTTTTTTAACTGTTCGAAACTTTTGTTTAAATTATCATCATCATCATCGTCATCATTTTTATTGTTATTATTGACACATTAATTACTGGGTACACGGGAGGGCCGACACGTTTTTTTTTTCACTACTCAAATATATATAAATCATAAAATTATTCAAAAGTTTTTTAATAATAATAACTATCATTATTATTATTGATTTGATTTATTTAAAAAAAAAAAAAGAAATTATTATAAACTATACCATGCGTCATGCAATTAATTTTTCAGGTACAAGAAAATAACAAAACGAATAAAGAAAGGTAATTAAATAATAATTTATACTTGATAATAAAAAATAAAAAAAAATAACAAAATTGATAAAATATTCTGTGTGTGTGTGTGCGTGTGCAAAACTACTGGAATTAAGCAGAAAATGCAATTAATGATCAAAACTCTTTTTTTTTTTTTTTTAAATTTTATAATTTACAACTTTTTCATTTTTTTTTTTTTTTTTAAAATTATAACATCCCAATCGGATTTGGGATTTTTATTTATTTATTTATTTCAAATAATAATAAAAAAGCTTTAAGGCAAAACTAAAAAAAAAAACGGTTATGGCAATTGAAGTAAAAAAAAAAAAATTAATTAATTTGAATTTATTATTATTATTAGGTGAGGATAGTTAAACTGTTACTCATCTTTATCATTATTATCGATAACCTTATTATTGACTTTATTGTTATCGTCAGTTTTTTTCCATGACTCATAAATGTATTTGAGTGCTGCAAAGCATAAAAGTAAAATCAAATTGCAATAATAAAATATTAAAATAATAGACCTGGAATAAAAGAAGAAAAAACAAAAATTTTTTTTTTTTTTTTTTAAATAAACCACCACAAAAATGAAAAAGAAAAGACAAAAACAATTTCATTATTTTACCAAAACACACGCTTAATAACAATGAAATAATTAAATTTTATTACTATTACACACATATATATATATATTTACAATCATATACATATATATAATATAATATATATACGTATATATATATTTTATTTTGATCATTTACTGCATTTTTTCCATGTTAAATTATTAAACGTGTAAAGCCTAAAACATGACCAATCAATTTTTTTCTATTTTCTTTCATATATTTATATATTAAAATTTATATTAAAACTAAATCAAAATCAAAATACCGAAAAGCAAATGAAAACCGATTTAAATAAAATTAAGGCGTTAAGAAGAAGCATTAAAAAATTAAAAGAGAGAGAGAGAGAGAGAGAGTGAAATTAACCGAGCAGCGGACTAATAATAATAATAATAATTAAATATTATGCAAAATCATGCTTAAATAATATATATAAACTAATATTAAACTACGAGGAGGAAAATTAGTTAATATTAATCACATAAAGCTCAAAACTTACATATCGAGTTTAGTGTTAGAAAGATTGACGGTTCGCTTTGGGAGCCTCGGAGACATTGTTTCCGAATAATTTTTTTTATTCACGTTCACACTTTCGGGAGGTTTTGGTGCGATTAATCTGATTGAGAAAAATATTTTTTTTATTAATTTCTTTTCTTTTTTTTTAATCAACTATTATTACTCGATAAGAAAAATTATTATTATTATTATTATTTACTTTAAGGAAGATTGTGAATTTTGAGCGTCACGTAGTGTTTCATCTTCTACTTTATTTATATTTTCTATTGGGTAAAGCAATTCTTTCGGTAGAGCCGTATACCTTCTGTGCTTAAGAAAGCTGAATGCCGAATTACTAGATTTTCCACCGTTGAAACTTCTGTACGAAAAAAATATTTGTAATATTTCAAATATATATACACATGTACAACATGTTAGGTATATATATGTACCTGCTTTGTGCGTTTGATGGAAAGGTGGGTGAACTAGATCTAGAAGAAGCAGGAGTGCTGTTCTCGGAATTACTTTGACTTGCATTGGCCAACGGTTTTAATGAATCTATATCAATGCCAAGATGATGACTTGATATTAAATGTTGTAAAAGCTGATTCTGTGTGTCGTTATCAGTTGTCAGCTATTCAAAAACAAAAAACATTTCGTTAACATTTTATTTTTTTTTAAAAATAAATTATTTAATATGTATTTACCTGTTGAATTTTAGCATTTAACGTTTCCAAATTCAATTCGGATCTGACATTAGTTACAGTTTGTGCTACTATCATGCTATAAAGTTTTTCTATTAGATACCGACTTTCTTCAATCGTATTAACTAATTGATGTGTTAAAAATTCATTTTCTGATTTTGCATCTTCTATTTCCATGATGTTGTGTTGACATTCCGATATTGATTCCTTTTGATATTTAAAAAAAAAAAAAAAAAAATTCAATATTTACTGAGTAAAACGTTATTAAATAAAAATGGTGAAATTATCTAACCTGAAGGTAATTCATGTTTGCTTGAGCAGATTCTATTTGTTCATCCAATACTTGTACTTCATTAGGATTTAAGTTGCGACAAAAAGCAAGAGAATTTTTTTTCTTTATCAACTGTTCCAACTCTTTTCCCAACGATTCCCTTTCTGCTATTAATCTGAAAATAAAAAATAAATTTTTATATTGTAATGATGTAAAAAAAAAAAAAGAATAATATTATTTACCTTTCCATTTCCTTTTCAGACATTGCAATTGCTTTTTTATTTAATTTAATTTTATTAATATTTTTTTCAATCACAGTCCATTTATTTTTAGCTTCTTTAGAAGAAAATGTTTTATTGTTCATTTTTAATACTCTTCCCGCTGCTTTCGTCGACATGATTCCTCTGGCTCGACTTCGAAGAGCAGAAACTTCTTCGTTTTTCCTTTTCAAAACAGCCTCTTTCACTCTATTCTCTGCTTGCAATGATCTTATTTCATTTTCACGTTTTCTCGATTCTTTTCTTAGCATAGCAATTTCTTTAGTTTTTTGCATTTCGATTTCCTGAAAATAAAAAAAATTAATAATTGTAGTAATAATAATAATGGAGGAGAGAAATGATGAAATTATATTTAATAATTATCTGACTTTGTGCTTTTGAACTTCTTCTTTCATTTTTTTCATTAAATTAACTTTTGTACGTTTCATATCTTCTACTTCGGCTCTTAGGGATTTCAATTGACCGCTTTGATGATTTTGTTCTTTTAAAAGTTTTGCGTGTTGCTTTTGAGCCGATTCTAATCTTTTTACTTCTTTTTGCATTTCGTTAACTTTTCTTTCATATTCATCTTTAACTTTTTTTATCTGAAAAAAAAAAAAAAATAAGAAGGAACATATCATATATACATATATTTTTTTTAGACATACGTTAGTACTTATTCATGAAAAATTAAAGCATGTTAAATTTTAAAATAAATTATTGTAACTGAACTATTGTTTTGATTTAAATATAGTATTAATAAAAAAAAAAAATTACCTTTTCGGATGGTTGATTGTATTGTCCGGCAAAAGAAGCTAAAACTTTATCACGTTCATCTTGAGTGGCACGAATTCTTTCTTGTAATTGTAATAATTTTTCTTCGTAGTGTTGTTTCATTGAATGAAGTTTTTGTTGTGACCTTTCTAATTCTTCAATTAATCTTTGTTTTATCGATATTTCATTTGTTAATTCGGCCAATTCCAAACCGTATTTTGATTCGTTATCTTCAGAGTCGGAGGATTCAACGCTAGAATCTTCATTATCTAAAACAATTTAAAATTTACGGATTTTTAACGCGCAAAGGAAAAAAAATTGAAAAAAAGAAAAAAAAAAAAAAATTTACCGTCATCTGAATAATCGCTTTCTCCTTCGGCTTTAAGCCCTCCTTCATCGTTTTCATTCTTTTCTTTTTTTTCACGTTTAGCAAGAATTTCCAAATTTTTCGATAAATCCATTTTGGCTTCTGCTATTAAATTACTCGTATCGCTAAATACAAAATTTTGATCTATAAAAAAAAAAAAAAAATTAAAAACAAACAAGTGAAATAAAAAAAAAAGAAAAAAAGAAAAATGAATTTTATCATCATGACTGAATAATAAACTCACCATTTACATTCGGATTATTTTTACAAAAATTATTATTATTATTATGTGTTATGTTTTTTTCACGTAAGGAATTTTTTTTGTTAATAGGTATTTCGTGAAAGGTGTGATGTCTTCGTGAAATGATGTTATCGGATTTTTCCGTTCTACCCAATTCACAGGCCGAACGGGGTTTTATCAATATGTGATCATCGGTTTCAAGTATTTCACTGGATAAGGTTACTAAACACAAAAAGGAATATTAGATTTTTTAAAATTAATTTAGGTTTTTCAAATTTAAATATTATTTTACAAAAGTAGAAAAAAAAAAAAAGGTTTTTTTTTGCGGTATATTTTGTGTAGGTTTTTACGATAAGAATTCCTATGATTTGGGCGTTTACATCACAAATAAATCAAAGATAAAATTTTTTAACATCTAAAATTCATAGAAAATCAATTATCCATTGAATATAATCGTTTAATATTTTGCTGTAATTTAGTAATAAAAAAAAAAACAGTTAATAATTATTTAAAAATTTATACATATTTACACACATTTAGATAAATATATAAAACACACTGAAAAAATTTTTGTTAGTAAGGATAAAGTAACATAAAAAAAGGAATGAATTTTAACCGAAGGATTTTTGTTTCCGCAAAAATTATAATTTCTTATTTAACTTACTCGTAGGCGATAAAAAATGCGATTGTTGCCTTGCTGTGGTTTTTCTCAATTGCTGACACAATGCTTCCGATTCAAGTAATTTTGCTTGAAGATCTTGAATTTCTTTTAAATAACCAGTAACTATTTCGGTAACGTCGACATTACCATCGGTACTACATTGAATCCAAGAATTGGCAGCTTTTTCAGCCAAAAGCATTGTATTTTTTTTTACAAGGGTATCTATTGTTTCTTGCATGGCTTTAAGTCTAACTCGTAAATTATTGGCTTCCGTTTGTAGGAGTATGTTTTCATGGCACATATCATTAACAACCTCAACTCCTTCTGCACTCACCAGACGCTTACCTTATGAAAAAAAAAAAAAAAAAAAAACTTTAAAAATGAATACAACAACAACAACAACAAAATAATGAATTTTACCTTGTTTGTATTCCAAAAGTTCTATTTGAAGTTCTTGAATTTGCTGCCTTAGTATAGCAATAGTTTTGGAAGATTTATCTTGATTAATAACTACCTTATTTTTAATATTACGTGCTCGATTTGCATAATTTAAAGTATTTAAAGTTTCCATAAAATCACTATCGCTTGGAGATATGCATGCTATCATCACAGTTTGACTATTACCTTAAAAAAAATTTTTTTTTTTTTTTTTTTTTTATCATCTTTAACCTGATTGACATAGAAAAAAAAAACAAAAACATATTCTGTAATAAATAGATAAAACTTACCACCCAAAGAGTCTTGCAACAACCTTGTTAATTTAGAATCTCTGTAAGGCACATGAAGGGCTTTTTTTGTTTTATCTCCTAAAGCCGATATTACGTTACCTAAAGCAAGCTAAAAAAAAATTTTCATATGTTTAACAAAAATTAATTTACAAATTTCATTACTGAAAAAGATTTTAAAAATCCGTTAATAAATATTAAAAGAAAAAAAAAAAAATTTTTTTTCTAATAATTATTATAAATAAATGACTTACCAAACCTCCATTAATTGAAATCCCTTCTCTAGCTCTTTCTCCAGTAGCTAAAGTTCTTTTTAATCTTTCAGAACCAGCCAAATCAACAAAGTGAAATTTGGCAGACAAAGTTGCAAATTCATTTTTCCCATTATTTTCAACATCATTTTTATCCTAAAAAAAAAAAAAAAAAATTACAGGAAAGAATATAAAGTAATATTTCCCATAAAAATTTTTGTTTTAAATAAATATTGTTGACATGAAAATTTACAATCGAATCCATATAAAACCTCATTTTTGAATTATTCAAAATAAGTTTATTGCCTTAGTTTAGTAAAAGTTCAATAAAAAATTTAAGGAAATAAAAAATCGTACGTGCGTCACTCAAAAATTTTTTAAAATAATAATAATAATAATAATATGTACATATTTAGGGTGTATTAAATTTAGGTTGACATTGAGTGGACAGTAAACGATATATTGAACCGAGACAATATCCGTTATTTTATTTAAATATGGCTCGAAATTCTTAAACAACCTACAATTTACTAAATTTGGTTAATTTTTTTTTTTTTTAAGGGGGGGGGGATTTTAAATTTAATATTAAAAAAAAAACCAATAATTTTTATTTTCTAATGTTTTCACGTTCATTTTTTACTTAATTATGGTAAAGTGTTTATTTTATTAAGATTACATTTGAAATGAGAATAAAAATCGAGAATGAGAGATCGATTATCTATATATGGATACGTAATATGAAAATTATGCAATCGATTCGCAGTCGATGCAAAAAAAAAAAAAAAAAATAATAATAATAATAAAGAATGAAATTTACCTCGATTCGAACCAACTTTTGTTGCTTTATTAGCAAAGTAAATATGGCGTGACTTCTAGAAGATTGAGAATTCATTTGTGTTGCACCTGTTGTTCTCGATAAAGCTCCTTGACGAAGCAAATTTAAAGCCTCACCTACGCTAGTTACAGGTTGCTGTGTCATTCCTTTAACGTATATGCTCCCATTGCAATCTTCGTGAATTTTGATTCCTTTGAACTAAAAAAAAAAAAAAAAAAAAAAAAGTTAATAATAGTAACCCAGTGTATCAACTAACCTATAAATATGTTTATATATAAATTCATGTTCGTTTGTACTTTTCGATACAAATAATTATTGAACATGATTACTGTATTGCACGGAGAGTAATTATCAAGTTTTGTTTTTCATTAACCGTTAATAAAAGCTTGCTAACACCTTTAATAACCAATTTAAACAATTTGCATTTTTTTTTTTCATTAAATTTTAATTGATAAAATAAAAAAATCTTAACAGAAAATAATAAGAATCCAATAATAAATAAGAAATAATTTTAGAGTTAATAAATGAAATCTTTCTTTTTTTGAATTTTAAGCAAAATATGTCTGATAATTTAATTTAATTTTTTTTTTTTTTTGGTAGTTGAATGTATTGAATAGTCGATTGAAAAAGTTAAAAATAAAATAAGTAAACAAATTAAAGGTAAATTATGAAAAATGAATAAATAAATATAATATTATTTTTCAACTGAAAACTATTGGGTCTAAATATTAATTATCGTTTCTCTTTACCCTTTAATATGATTAATGAACTTTTAAATATTCTTTTATGGATTATTTAGCTACTAAAAAAAAAAAAAAAAAAAAAAAAAACGGTTTTTATAATAATAAAGAATCTTTGTAAAGGGCTGCGAATATAAAATGTGCCTTTATCAAGGATTTTATAAATAAATAAATAAATACCATACTTACACCACTAATATATCCTTGAGTTGGATCTAATAAATCAATAATGTCGTCATTGTAGAGTTCCATAAATTGTACGTTGACTTTAAATTCTGGAGGAGGTTCACCATTTTGACAAGCAATTTGAATTCTTTCCTTAATGCCACCAAATACATGATGAATAGCGCGTGGGAGGATACCGACTTGATTTTCTTGTACTTCTACTTCAAATCCAGTTCCCATCGTGTATGTTTTTCCACTTCCCGTCTTTAAATAAATAAATAATAAATTAAGCATTTAAAAAAACATTTAATTGATACTAATTTTTTTTTTTTTTTTTTCATTTAAAAAGTTGGTTTAAAAAAAAAAAAAAAAAACAAACACGTTTTTATTTATTATTTATAATAGTGGTAAATGATAAGTTATTTAAATTAACAAGTTCATCCATGGATCGAGTTTCAATCGTTAATAATTTTAAAAACTTTAGAGATACATGTAACACATTTTTAATCTCATTATTTTATTTTAAATCCTTGTGCGGTTTTACAAGAATGGATATCGAATCAAAATTATTATTTAAAAACAAAATAAATTTCAATGATATAAAATATTGATTTTATACGTATATATTTTGTTTAAAAAATGATGACTGAAAAGTAATAAAAACTCGCCTGCCCATAAGCCAAAACAGTGGCATTGTATCCCTCTAGGGCCCCATCAACGAGTTTCCTAACACAGGTATTGTACACCTCCTCCTGATCACAATCCGTGTCAAAGACATAATCGTAGGTAAATGATTTTTCTGAGCTGAGTGTGATTTGAGGCTCCCCTGGTGTTACTGAAGTGCAAATTCTGCACATTTCAATCACTTCTCTGGGAATTTGCGGTCGTATTCTGAAAATAGTAATAATAAATTAAACAATTTCTTTTTTTTTTTTTATATTTGAAATTTTGAACATATTATTCAATCTATTTGAAACATTGATAATTTAAAAATAAATTTGAAAAAAAAAGTTTATGATAAAATAATTATTATTATAACTTTCTTTAATTTCAATATTAAAATATTAATTAAAAAACGAATATGCATTTTAAACAGTGGTCAAAAAAGCTTTAATTCATTATCCAATAATTTTAAAATGGAGTTATTCATTCAATTAAGCTTCTGAATAAAATTTTGTAACGTGTATTAAAATTATTGAGATGGCAAAGTCAAGTTATTTAAAAAAAAACTTAAAATATAAAAACAAATAAACTTAAAAATATCAAAATAATTCATAAAAACTTATATGTAAAGTTGAAAAGACGGTTTTGATTACAAATATGAAAAAATTATCAAAATCAATGATGTAAAAAACCTGGTTTGATGAGGCGTTTATGTTTTTTTCATTTGATTTTGATGATATAAAATAATAATAACGTTGCATAGGTATTTTAAAGATTCCTAAAATGAATAAAGAGCCTACGAAGCCCCCTCAAAATAATTATGTGATAGGTGTTTTTTTTATTAGGTACGAAGGTAACGGTTCGCAAACGAGTAGGAATTCATAAGAAATTAATAAAAAAGCTTACTAAACTACGTCATTTATATATGTACTCAGCAATTATGATTTTTTTTTCGTTTTATTCACGACTTCGTATTATGAAACACAAACGAACCAAACAAAAAATATTAATAAAAACGTGTTACATTTTTTTTTTTTTTTTTTTTTTTTCAAATATTGATAACTTGATAAAAATTAATTAATTAATCAATTATAAAACTTTCAAAAAAAAAAAAAAAATTATTTATATTAATTAAATTAAACGAGTTTTCGTAAAATATTGTATGTCTATACATGTTCATAAGTATTTATTTATTTTTATTTTTATTCTTCTTTCGATTAAAAGAAGAATTAATTAATAAAAATCAATATATACGTAAATTTAAAATTTGCGTCGACCAAAATTTAAAAATAAACCTTGAATGGTACCGCCCTGGTACACTGTTCAAGGTAATCAGGGAAAATAATGATTTATTGAACGCGTTTCATTAATAAACCAATGGTTATTTATAGTCAAAATTTTCATTATGTACGAAATATACGGTACAATAATACATAAAAATCATTTTCTATAAATAATATTTCAGCATAGGTAATTCATTTTTTTTTTTTTTTTTGAAAATAATTAATTTTGTTACGACAACAAATGGATGTAAATATTTAAAAAAAAAAAAAATTTAATATTTTAAAGTTAAGTTACACTACTAAATAATTAAAAGCTCCATAAAAATCAAAGAGGTTATATCAATTTTTTAAAAAAAGGAATTAAAATTTTTTGATTAATTGCATTTTAATAAAATACGATGAAATTTTTTTGTGTTATTCAAAAAAAAAAATTGATTTTCTTATTTTGGTGTCAATAGTTTATCGACAATTGATTATTTCATACAAATTATCAGATAATACTAGGTATTGATTTTTTAAAAGTAATTTACAAAACAATTTTCTACTTCCACTTTTATATCCGAAAAAAAAAAAATTTGGTAATACTAAATAATTTCAATTTGATTTATTTTTATATACATTTTTTTCTTTTCAGTAGATTAAAATTTATTGAATTTCTATTTATAAATAAACACATAAAAACTAATAAATTAAATTTTTAGAAAAAAAAAAAAAATTCCTCGATTAAATAAAATGGAAAATGTTTGTTTAAGCGTATTCATTTTTTTTTTTTTATTACTATCATTCAAGGTCATTTATGTTTATAAGTTATTGTAATTTTTACAATTTGTTTAAATAAGCTAAAGTCATTTTATCTAATAAAAAAAAAAAAATTTTATTTAATCAAAAATTATGTGTACATATGTATAAAAACGAATAAATAATAATCTTTGGTAAACGTTCGATTTTTTAATTAATCCTTACCTTAAATTTTATACTTAAATAATTATTACCCCAAATATATTTTAAAGTTTTTTTTTTTAACATAATAAAGACAACAAACAATTGAGCAAAACAATTGAGCTTTCATTAATGTTTTTCCTAATCTTGTTATTACACTATCTTAAAATTTTAATATTACCTGAATATTAATATTTCTAAATTTAAACTAAAAATTAAACTGGCACAACAACAAATGAAAAAAAAAAGAAAATTAAACAAAATAAGAATAAAATTAAAAAAAAGACACTAATAAATAAGACATGTTTACCCTAAAAAACATAAATAAACGTTATAATAAAGTTATTTCTCAAATAGAACATTTATTTTTCAGGGAAACAAAAAAAAAACTATTTAAATTTATTAAATGTCATGAATTAATGTTTTTTTTTAATTGATAAAAAAAGACAGACAGAAAAATGTACCTGTATTTTGTACACAGTGCAACTTTGGGTAATATAAATTCAAATTTTTTCCCAGCAAGATGATAAATATAATAAATATTAGTAGAATTATTTACCTTACGGCCACTCTAACGGAAGATTCATCTTCTCCCATTATTTTTCATATTCCTTAATTATACCTAAGTATAGATAACTTTACTGTACACATAAAAGGCATAAATAATTTTTAATTCCCGGACACCATGCTTTTTCAATAAATACTTAAAAATCTTATAATTTTACTAAACGCGATATTCACAAAAAATACTTCCACCAAAGGCTTACAAACGTGTTTAAAAATTAGCATTTGAATTAACAGGTTTTAATGAGTTTTTACTTGAAAAATGAATAAATTCTCAAAGGAAAGTTTGTTGAAAAGTAAACCTAAATGTCTACTAATGATGTACTTTGAAAAATAATGTCAAAGGAAACTTTTTCCTCATTGGCTAATTCTTGAACTAACAAAAGACAGCCATGTTGATGCAAAATGTTGTATGTTTACTGATGTTTTAGCGTTGTTTGGAATGTAACTGTGAATTTTTTTTTTTAATTGTAATGTGTTACACAGTTGAAGTTAAATATTTATCATATTAGAAGTAAATTATTAAGGAAACAAAATGAATTTTGATGAAGAAATTGAGGAAAAGACTATGGATTACAATGAAGATTGCGATGCAAACCCTTCCATGTGGTTACCAATATCTCGTAAACTGACATTTTCGCCAGTTCCAGATGACTTAAATTTTTCATCAAATAGTGTGAATTCTAATTTTTCTCCAATAAAATTAAGCCCGCCGTGTCGAAATTTTTTGACGCTCCGTTTGACAGAACAACCATCGACTCCTGGAACATATATATCAATTCTGGTCGCAGAGTACCAGCATCCAGTAAATTAAATTCTCGACTGTCAGCTCCCAATCTTAATCCCTTCACTCCAGAAAGCATGCTAAAATTGTCTAAAAAACGTTCAAGAAGTTCTAATAGCAGGTGTTTATTTATGAATTACTTTTTTCTTTTTCTTTTTTTTTAGTACTTTTGTGTGAGAAAACATATTATTATTATTATTATTATTATTATTAATTCTTTGTTACTCACATTTTAAAATCAATAATTTTCTAATTTTATTAAGTTTTAACTTACCTTATTGTTTCTTTAAAAATTCAAAATAAATATTTTTATTATTTTGAAATGTTACACCAATTTTTTTTTTTAAATAGAATGTAATTTCAGTAGTGCTGTTTTTGTCAATCAATTTTATGTTATGTCACATTTTTGAGTTTTTAAGTTTAACACAAGTTCTAGTTCTTAATTTTTAAAATGTCTTAATAAAAACCATAAATATTTTTATGGAATTAATAATAAACAAAGTTTTAAATAGGGTTTTTGTGTTTCTAACAAAAATTTTTTCGGCTTTTATATTTAGTTTACTTACTCTGATCATTACCATAAAAATGTATTTTAAAAAAAATTCACTAAAAATTGCAGGACCAGGATACCTGTATTTATCATTTTAAAAAACAAAATTTGAAATAGAATTATTTAAAATGAAACAATTTTGTATAATAATATTTTAATTTGAAATTGATTTTAACCGATTAAGAATACTAAAAAAATTTTTAATAATTTTTTATTTTAGTAA